TGTGATGCGCACACGCCGTCCCGCCCCGTGCCTGCACCCGAGTGTGTGATGCGCACACGCCGTCCCGCCCCGTGCCTGCACCCGAGTGTGTGATGTGCACACGCCGTCCCACCCGTGCCTGCACCCGAGTGTGTGCTGATGCGCACACGCCGTCCCGCCCCGTGCCTGTACCCGAGTGTGTACTGATGCGCACACGCCGTCCCACCCGTGCCTGCACCCGAGTGTGTGCTGATGTGCACACTCCATACCGCCCTGTGTCTGCAGTGGTCCTGCTGGAGCAGCTGACACCACCCTCTTGCAGCTGTCTACCATGCACTAAGAGCACTTGTGCCACATTAGAATCTTAAACAGCCTGCTGGTGACCACGTGGTGCGAGTCTTACTAAACAACCTTTGATCCCCCTTTGCTGCTACTGGTAACTCAGGAGAGGTAATAAACGCAGAGACAATCAAAACAAAGTAGGAAACTTTAAAGTGCTGTGCACTTCATGAAAGGCAGGCCAACTCTAACAAGATCGGATGATCAAATCTGAGGGAAAGACGTTACTCTGACAGATGGGAGACCTGGTGTCACGCAGCACATCACGGCATTGCCAACACAACAGCAGGAGCCCGGGAGCACCCTGGGTCATCTCTGGGAGCTGAGGTGCTCGCCAAAGCTTGTAGCATGTGGAGATGTTTTAACCTCCTCAGGGAGTACCCGCCACAGTGGCTGATGGGATTAGAACAGTTTCCTGGCTGCTGTTCTCTGAATAACAGCTACTAGAAACTCATGGTTCTCTAACTTCCTGGAGGCACTCAGGTGGTGCAGTGGCGAAAGCATTCAGCTGCTAACCAAAAGGTTGACAGTTCAGATCCACCATCTGCCCCACAGGGAAAAGATGAGGCAGTCAGCTTCTGCGAAGATTGACAGCCTTGGAGACCCTGTGGGGCAGAATGGACTCCACGGCAGTGGGTGTGGTTTGGGCTTTGCTTCTGTGAAGATTGACAGCCTTGGAGACCCTGTGGGGCAGTTCCTCTCTGTCCTCCAGGGGCACTGTGGGTCGGAATCAATGCGTTGGCAGTGGGTTATTGGTATCAGAAGCTAAAAAAAGTTATTATTTTAAAACAATAAGAAGCGTAGTCTATGTTAACACAAACATGTTATGAAAAATAACTTTCAATAAAACTGGGGCAAAGAGCAGAGGGCCTTTCCACCTGGCTCTGATTCACTCGGTGGTGCGGCTGGTTCTGTTGACGTGTATGAAGAAACCGTGACCTCACACAAGGACGCAGGCGGAAAACGGGCGAGCGTGCCCACAGCCTCTGACAGGCCAGCAGCGTCGGCAGGGGAAGGCGTCTTCCCCGTCAGCTATAACCTGGGATCTGCAGTCCGTGACCTTCTCAGAGGTTCCACCAGCCATCTTGAATTCTGAGGGTTCTTTGCCCTGGGGTGCTGCCAAGGTCCCAGGGGTGGGGACCAGTCTGAGCTGGCGAACTTCACCACAAGCACCAAATGCCACCCTGCTCTCCTTGAAAGGCAGGTTCACTGTGCCGATTTCTGAGAAAGCATCTGCACAGTCCTCAAGCCTGAGCAAGTGACGCGTTGTTCTTTCAAGTGCCAATGGCATGCACACCCATGTTCACCACAGCACTGTTTACAACAGCCAAAAGATGGAAACAACCTAGGTGTCCATCCACTGAGGAATGGATAACCAAACTGTGGTACATACACACAGTGGAATACTATGCAACCCTAAAGAATAACCTAGAATCTGCAAAACACCACATAATGTGGATGAACTTGGAAGACATTATGCCTAGTGAAGTAAGTCAATCACGGAAGGACAGATTGTATTAGTCCGTTATTGTAAAAGTCAAGGAAAGGTTTATCTACAGAATGAAATTTTCTTTGTTGGTTACCAGGGGTGGGAGGGGAGGGGAGGGAATACTGTTAGAGAGAGAGAGATAAGTATTGATTTGGGTGAACAGAAGGGCAATGTACCAAATGTGAGTGATCAACATGATGGCATTGAGGAAGAGGAAGACATAGAGAGGTACATGGGAGGTACAGACAACAAAGATGAATCCTTTTGCACATACAGTACTGCATTTTCAGTG